AGCCCATGCTACAGAGGGTATATCCTGACCCCAAAACCAAGCCCTATAGGTGGCTCCTATGCCCCGGTCTAATAAGAAAGTCTACACTTCCTGAAGCTACACTTACACAGAATGAAATCATTTCTGTATGAACACACAAAATGGATCCCAAGGATGAAACACCAAGGGTTGAAAATGAAAGCAGCAATGATGTTCCAGGTCATCAAATGCTGCTGTAATATCCTGAAATATATCTGTCAAAACTAGGTTTTTGGTTTTTGGTTTTTCCATTGAGTTCAGTAAACACCAGCAAAGTTACATGCCTTATAGCTTTATCCCCCATTGTGCTCTTGGGTACTCCTGAAGTCCACTAAAGTGTCATCTGCTATCAGATATCTTTACTTAGCCTACAGGAACACCTGTAGTCACCGGGAAGCTGCAATATTTGCTACTGGTAGGAGAGAGGCTTCAGAGACTCCGACCATAGATGTCCCCACACAAAAGATCATTTAAGGACACAGGAAAGGACCAAGGTTGGGGCAAGGGAAACTGACCTGGTTTATCCCAGTACTGCCACATCCCTTCTAAGGCTCCCTAACAATAATCAAGGAATGGGAGAAACTGCCTGCAAAAAGTGACCAGATACCTACATCACCAGTTCAAACTAGCAAATACAAAATTAGCTGGAGGCAGTTTATTGGGAGTAGGGTTCACTTTCCAATCTGAAGGTTATGGAAGTCAAGTGATTTGCTGCCTTTCAAACTTAATACATGTTCACATCCACAAGAGGTAAACACTGTGGAGTGAGATCTTCAAATAAGACTTCTATCCTTGGGCAAGGGATAGAGCTCAGTGCCTTCCTGGCAAGTGCAAGGTCCCAAGTTCAATCCCTGATACATAAAAAGAGAATTCTACCCTTGGTGGGAGGACTAGGAAACAGTACTCCTTTTTAAAATCAAATATTCTGTGTGTATCATTTTGGTCCATTTAGACATTGATAAGACCCATAGTGTGCTTTTACCTTTTGGATCCAATGAATTATAATGTCATGAATATGGGTGGACAAGTACTGGTTTGAGTTACTCCTTTCCGTTCTTTTGGATTACTCAGAAGTGGATTTCATCCTTTCGTTACTTGGTTTTTATTTTAAACTTATTTGCAGTGCTAGAGATCAAATTAAGTACCTCACTTGGGACACAAGTGCTCTACCACTGAGCTCTACTCTCAGCCCCACATGTTTAATATTTTTTAGATGGCCCTCAATATGATGCCCACCCAGCTCAGTTCTTTTTAATGCTGTCTCCCCTTTCTCTCCCTCCTTCCTGCACAGGGGACTGAATCTAGCACCTTCACACTGAGCTTCAAATCTAAAAACATCCACCATTTTTCAGACGAGGTCTTGCTAAATTGCTAAATTGTCCATGCTGGGTTCAATTTGCAATCCTCCTGATTCAGCCTCCCAGAGTGCCGATATTCGTGTCCCGGTATTACACACTTTGTTTTTAGTTTTTGAGGCACCACCACGGTGTCTTCCAGAGTGGCTGCAGCTTTTTCCATTCCCACTAACTGCACAAGGACCCAACTGGTTCTCAGTGATTTTCTTACATTTTGGGGAATGAAAATAACACTTACACTGTGAATTTTCTATAGCATTCTATGTGAAATGATTCACTCCAGTCTTTCCTCAATACATTTACTGCATTTTTATCCAGCTGGAATTTAAAATGACAAAGTATTTGTTAAAATTTAAGATTTTCAGTGACTGCACTGGCGCACAGTGTTAGAGATCCCTAGCACTGCTAAGTATGTAGTCACAGATGTTTAGTAAAACCAAATGGCTAGAGAAAATGAGTATTTTGGAAATCAACTGCATCTTCTCACTGGGAGAAGATGGACAATGTCTTGAAACATGTGATTCTGCCATGAGACTGTTTCTATTATAGTAGGATGAGTCCAGTGCCCTAGGGAAGAAGTTCATTATGCCAGACATTGATGCACTCATGTTTTCATAATAGTAGAGCTGGTTAATGTCTTCAAGGTGTGAGTAGCAGAATTAATATATCCAGGAAGGGCAGTAATTCATATGTCTTGCCGCTGGATGTCTCTGATATGAAGTAAATCATTTGCACCCATTTGAACTACCAGTGCTACGTGCATGACTATCCCATCAGGCAGCTTGTACCACTTTCTCAGAGGGTCTTTGATTATAATAACACAAAGAAAGGTGTTGACTTAGCTGGCCAGATGTCATTGTATTATAGTTCCTTAAGGAAAACTTTAAAATGGTATAAAAATTTGTAATACAGCTAATTTGTGGTTGAACAGTTGTAAATGCTCATTATATACACCAGCAATGGGATACTTATAAGAGTTCCATGTTAGAATTAATTACTGATAAACTAAACTTTCACATAAATTTCTTTTAACAATGAAATCAATGTATCAATTGTATTAATTTTAACTAGTATGCACAGTATTAATATTTATATTTGGGCAATTATTCAAATTCAAGCAACTGAACTCAGTCCATTTATAGACTTTGTATTAACTTTATTAGTAAAGTGACTGATAAAAGTGATTAGATCCATTTGTACCACTAGTGGTATGAGCCACCTAATGGGACAGTCATGCATGTACCACCAGTGGTTCGGTAAGAACATGTTAATGGGCCCAAATGCTTTTTCTCTTACCCAGATAGGAAAGCATTAGATACTGCCCACTTAGAAATTATAACCAATAAATACGAATGGCTATCTCTATTCAGTATCTTAATGCAACTGATTAGATTTAGAGGACTGCTTAGGAAAACTCTGTGGGAAAGACTGAAAGCTCATCTGTTCAAACAGAAGCCTTTAAACTGATTTTGTTGTACCTTAAAATTAAAAAAAGAGCTGCAGTACAAATTCCCCATAATGAATGTGATCATTATATACGGCAAACATATACTAGTAAAAAAAATAATAAAGAAGAGCTGTAACCGTTAAATTTCTCACCTATTTTTCACATGCTTATGTTTGTATTCAAGGATCAGTGCAACATCCTTTTCTAAGGAGGTAGGCCTCAAAAACTTGTTCTCAGTCAAGCGTGGTAGCCCACACCTGTAGACCCAGGACCATGACAGGCTGAGGCAGGAAAATCACAAGTTCAAGCTTAGCCTGTGGAATTTACCAACTAATGCAGACCCAATCTCAAAAACAAAGTGGGAGACACCACAGTGACCTCAGTTTCAAACTAAACAAAAATGAATGAATTTTTTTTTATATTCTTTATATTTGTAAGGTGTCTTTCCACGGTAAATTCTCATGTATACCCAAAGCTTTGTGTGATGAGATGGGTTTTCCATATACCTTACACTTCAAGGAATTTCCTTTCATGAGCTCTTATGCAGTGAAGCACAAAAGGAAGCTCTTAGTTTTACAACATTCTTTTTACATGTAGTGCTTCTTTTCCAGAAGTCTGGTTCGTTTGGGGTTTTTCTGTTTTATGTGCTCAAATATCACTTGACTAAGTGAACGTCTTACCACATTTTTCACATCCTTAGATTTTTCTCTTCAGTGAATATTGCCATATACTGCAGTATAAATGGAACAACTGAAGGCCTTCAACCATATTTACATTCATAGAATTTCTCGATAGTGTGACTTTATATGTACCTTCAGAGAGTGGGAATAAGTGAAGGCTTTATCACATTGTTCACATTCATAGGGTTTCTCTCCACTGTGAATTCTTTCATGTACATGAAGGGCACCAGAACAAGTGAAGGTCTTTCCACATTGTTGACACTCATAGGGTTTCTCTCCACTATGAGTTCTTTCATGGACTCTGAGAGAATTAGAGTAATTAAAGGCCTTACCACATTGTTCACATTCATAAGGTTTCTCTCCGCGATGAGTTCTTTCATGAACATGAAGGTAACAGGAACTAGCAAAGGCCTTCCCACATTGTTGACATTCATAGGGTTTCTCTCCACTGTGAGTTCTTTCATGTACACGGAAGGAATTAGAAGAATGGAAGGCCTTTCCACATTGTTGACACTCATAGGGTTTCTCTCCACTGTGAATTCTTTCATGGACTCGGAGCGAATTAGAGTAATTGAAAGCCTTTCCACATTGTTGACATTCATAAGGTTTCTCTCCACTATGAATTTTTTCATGTGCTCGCAAACCACTAGAATGAGTGAAAGCCTTTCCACACTGTTGACATTCATAGGGTTTCTCTCCACTGTGAGTTCTTTCATGAAGGCGGAGGGAATGAGAATAATTAAAGGCCTTTCCACATTGTTCACATTTGTAGGGTTTCTCTCCACTATGAATTCGTTCATGCATTCGTAGGACATTTGAACGAGTGAAGGTCTTCCCACACTGTTCACATTCATAGGGTTTCTCTCCACTGTGAGTTCTTTCATGCACTTGAACTGAGCTTGAACTATTAAAGGCTCTACAACACACTTTACACTGATAAAGTTTCTCTCTACTATGTATTCCCTCATGATCTTGAAGGGTATTAGAATCCCTGAATGCTTTGCCACATTGATTACAGGTGTAGGGGTTTTTTGCAGTAGTTCTTTCATGTACTTCACAGAAGCTTGAAGTCCTGGAAGTCTTCCCACATTCCATACATTTATAAAGTTGCTCTCCAGTGTCCATTCTCCCGTGCCTCTGAAGCCTTCTAAGACAAACAAAGGAATTCCCACATTCCTGGCATTTATGAAGTTTCTCTCCAGTATGAGTATTTTTATGTAACTGAAAAACATGTAGACATTTGAAGTCTTTACCACATACTGTACATTTACAAGATTTTTCTGTAGCATGGGTCCCTTCATGATATTGCAGATTTATCGGGACACTGATGGATTCACCACATTGTCTACCTTCATAACATCTCTCTCGACTGTGATTCTTTTCATGAGTTTTATATGATGAGTAATACAGAAAGGGTTTTCCACAGTGCTTACATTGATAGAATTTCATCCCAGTGTGTATGTTCATGTGTATCTTAAATGTTTGGCGACCAAAAAATGTTTTCCCACATTCTTTACACTGATAGCTTTTCTCTCTAACATGACTTCTTTCATGTTTTCGAAAAGAACTGAGAAATGTGAAACCTCTGCCACACTGTTTACATTCATAAGGTTTTTCTGCAGTATGAGTACTCTCATGGTTCCGAAGACACTGGTGATAAATGAATGCTTTACCACACTCCTTACATTCGTATGGCTTATTTCCATATTTCTGACTCTTGTATGCTCTGCAGGCAGGAGGTGATCTGAGGTGCCCACTAAGGAATTTTGGATACATAAAGACTTTTTCACACAAGCTGCCTTTACACGCTGCTCCACAGGTCTGAGTTTCCTTGATGAGACTCAGATTTGAAATTCTGCTGTTTTCTTTACACTGAAGGCTTGCTTTACTTTCACAGGGTTGCTTGACCATATAGCTTCTGTAAAGAACAAATAGTGCATTTTCAATGACATTTTTAAATTTTTTCTTATTTTTAATAGGTATCAGAATCACTATTTAGCCAGGGATGGTGGCGCACATCTATAATCCCAAAACTCGAGAGGCTGGGGCAAGAGGGTCACCATGAGTTTGAGGCCAGCCTGAGCTATGTAGTGAGTTCAAGGCAGGCTAGATTACATAACAAGAACTTGTGTCAAAAAAAACAAAAAAGAAAAGAATCACTATTTAATCACTCTCTGGAGAAATGCTGCCTTTCTTCCTTGTCAACATTCTAAAGTGAATGTATGGAATGCCTTAGACAGGTATTTGGCTGTCATTATGAGAACAGTAATATTTATATGTAAGGTTTGACAATGTTTTTTGTTTTTTCCAGTATGAAGGACTAAACACAGGGCATTTGACTTAGCTACATGCCCAGGCCTTTTTACATATATTAATCTTGGAGACAGGAACTAAGTCACTAAATTACCCAGGCTGAAGGCTGGGGATGGAACCCTGGGCCTCATACACATTGGACAAGTGCTGTATGACTGAGTTATGTACCAGCCCTAAAGCCTTTTGTTAACATTTCAAAAAAATAAGTAAATAAATTGCCCAGGCTGGCTGGAACATCCCATCCTTTAGCCTTAGCTGCCAAGAGTGGTCAGATTACAGATATGTGCCAATACAACCAGCTCTTTTTTGGGGGGAGGGGCAGGCGCCAGGAATCGAACTCAGGACCTTGCACTTGCCAGGTGGGCACTTATGCCACTGAGCTATATCCCTAGCCTACAACCAGCTCTTGATACTGGTTTGAAGTAAACTACATTTCACATCCTTAACATCTATAAAATTTTTAAGTATGTGTGTATGTGTGTATGTACGTGTGTGTTACTGAATAGTGAACCCAGAACCTTTGAACTGAGCTACATCCTCAGTCCTTTTTTGGATTTTTTAAATTTTCAGACAGGGGTCCCACAAATTTTTTTTTTTTTTTTTTGTCTTTTTGAGACAGGGTCTTGCTATGCAGTTCAGACAGGTCTTGAGCTCACTTTGTAGCCCAGGCTGGTCTCAAACTCACAAAGATCCTCCTACCTCAGCCTCACAATTTTTTTTTTTTTGAGAGCAAGTCTCACTATATAGTGCAGGCTGGCCTCAGACTCACAATGCTCATTCTGCCTCAGCCTCCGTAGTGTTGGGATTACAGGTGTATGCCACCATACCCAGCTGGGTCCCATAAATTTTACCACATTTTGGGTATCTCCACAGAGTTATTCGGGGTGGGATTAAACTTTCAATCCCCTTGCCTAAGCCTACCAAGAAGCTGGGTTTACAGTCATATGTCACAACACTCAGCTAGTCAATATTTTGGAGGGAAATTTTTTGACAAATCAGTTAGAAGTGGGGCTTACTGTTTAGCTTGCTTGTATTTGAAATGTCATAATATAGGAAAATATCCTACAGGGCCACTACATATGAGTACAGTTCACCTTAGATTTCTCCTCGCATTTTGATCACCATCTTCAATGTTCCAGTCTTTCCATTTTCTCCCTAAAATTCACACCCAGAGACAAATTGTCATAAATTTGGTTTTAGAGAAAATGTATGACAGTATACATACATGCTTCAATTGTAAATTAGCCTAATTTAATCACCAAAGCAATATTATTTCCAGCTTTAAAATCCTGGGACCCAGCTGATGAGCATGAAACATTTATTCTGTAATTCCCTAAATGAAGGAATGACATCATCCTCACCCACAACGGCCAGGTTCCTGATGGTTTCCCTCATCACATCTCTGTAGAGTCTCTTCTGTGAAGGATCCAGCAGAGCCCACTCTTCAAAGGTGAACTTCACAGCCACATCCTCAAAGGCCACTGAGTCCTAAAACATCCCACAAATGGGCATAGGTACACGGTGAGACTGACATCCTCACCATGTGAGGATTGAGGATCAATCCTCAGTTCCTACAGATGCTCCCCACTCCTCTGAGGGATCCAAATATTTACTGTTGCCGGAACACCAAACCTCACTTCCTCATAAAATTTAGCAGCCATGAACACAGAAAAATTATTTCTACATTTTGTATGGGTTTTTGCTTTTTTGTTTATTTTGCAGAACTGCCACATGAACCCAGGCCCTTCGCACTAAGCTTCATTTCTATGCTATTTTACTTGGAAACAGATCTCACTAAATCGCTCAACCTTGAAATCACCCTTCCTCAGCCTCCCAGCATGCTGAGTTACAGACATGTGGCACCATGCCCAGCTGATTTCTATATTTTAACCTCTACATATCTTATGTTTACTGGTAGCACCAAATTCACCTTGAAGCAATGTGCCAAATATGTTCCCAGAAATGAAATTGAAAGTAACCAATTCCTGATTAGACAAGCTATCATTTTCTGGCCAGGCTTGGTGGCACATGCCTGAAATTCCACAATCTGAGGCTGAGGCAGGAAGATTACAACTTTTGGGTTTGAGAGGAGTTTTTATCGGGGGGGAGACAAACCTCCTACCTCAACCTCCCAAGTGTTGGGATTAGAGGAATGCACCATCACTCCTGGATAGAAAGTTCACAATTTAGACCCCAGCCTAGCCTGGGCAACACAGCCAGATCTGGTCTGAAAACTTTAAAAATACCTTTTAAAAGGATGGGGATATAGCTCAGTATAAAGGTCCTCAGTTCAAACCGCAGTGCTTCGGGGGAAAAGCTACCATTTTGCACCTTAATATGCACAATATCAATTAATATTTCATGAAAGATAGCCAAAGGAGAACATTGTTTTTTATTTTTTGGTACCAGGAATCAAACTCATGACCTCGCACTTAGCAGACAGGCACTTGCTCAGCTGAGCTATATCCCCAGCCCGAGAATATTGTTTAAATGCATAAATACATCCTTAAAATCATTCCCATCAAAAGACATCAGAAGGGGCCGGGATGTAGCTCAGAGGCACAGCACCTGCCTGGCAAGCATGAAACCATAAGTTTGATTCCTGGTACCAAAAACAAATAAAAATCAGAAGCTAGGATACCTGGGGATACCCAATATGTAACAAGAAAATGGATTGCTCTGAGATATTCCATGCCTATACAAAAACTCAGAGCCAGACCTAACGGCTCATGCCTGTTGTTATAGCTATCTGGTAGGCTGAGGCAGACAGGATCCAGCTTTCCAAGTTTGAGGTCAGCCTAGGTAAAATAAAGAGAACCATCTCAAAATAAAGAAAGCTGAAAAGAAAGAAGAAAGAAAGAAAGAAAACTGAGCTGGGCGTGGTGGCATACTCCTATAATCCCAGCACTCAGGAGGCTGAGGCAGAATCATTACTGAATTCAAGGCCAGCCTGCGCTACATAAGCAAGTTGAAGGCCAGCCTGCACTACATGGTGAGACAGTGCCTCAAAAACATACGTACATACATAAATACATAAATACATAAATAAATAAATAAATAAATAAAAAGAAGGCTGAAGGTGTAGACCACTGGTAGATATTTGCATAGCATGTTGAACAGGCTCTGAGTTCAATCCCTATGCAATCACTAATTGTAATATATCAACTTGAATGGATTAATAAACACATAGAGGACTGGTAGAGCACAGTTCTGGGTATATCTGTGAATGATGGAAATGTAGGCTACAAACTGAGGATGGAAGATCCACCTCAGATGTGGGTAGCACCAACAAATAGGCTTGTAGCCTGGATGGAATAAAAATGGAAAGAAGGAAGTCTTCCCTTTTGCTTCTGTGGAGGAGCTCCGGTCTTCGTCATCACCTTTGGATGTTTTGTCTCCAGTTGCAGCAGGTTTCCAACATAGACTCCTCAGCCTTCCAATGCACACCCTTCAGGATTCCAGCATGGACTTGCACAACACTGCAGTGAGCTCCAGGTCTCTGACCTTTGACTGGATCCGCCAGCGCTCCAGCATGCAGACAGTCATTTTGCATTCTTCCACCCCTGATTATGCAGGCAGCCACTATAAGCCTACTTAATAAATTCTTTATACAATCATATGTATTTTTATATTAAGTCAGTTCTAGTGAACCCTGACATACCCTAGCACCACAGACACACATACACACACACACACCATCAAATTTACCTAGCTGTATAAAAACAGTCATCTGGGTCTTCAAATATAGCTTCCTTGGCCTCAAGGCCTGGGGCTCAATCCCCCCAACATGGATCCACATCTCACCTCTATTCTCTGCCAATCCTAGTGACTAAACACACGGGGTCCTACAATTAGAGAAGAATTGTACCACTGGGCAACATCTAGTCTTTTATTTTTAATTTTTATTTTCAGACAAAGTTGAACTATACTGTACTGACTGGCCTTAAACTTGTCATCCTCCTCTCCCTTTATGAGTCTGGCAGACACGAGCTTAAATGATGTTTGTACATCTTCCCATTATGTTATTAGGATTTAATTTTAGTAACAGTGGAGTACAATTAAAGATTATATCACTGGGCATGGTGGTGCATGCCTGTAATCCCAGCACTCAGGAGGCTGAGGCAGGGAGATCATTGTGAGTTCGAGACCAGCCTGGGCTACAAAGTGAGCTCAAGGCCAGCCTGAACTGCAGAGTGAGACCCTGTCTCAAAGACACACACACACACACAAAAAAAAAAAAGACTGTATCACTTCTTTATCTTTCTGGTTTTCCATGCCTTTAGAGAGCCAAGCGTGATGGCCCACACCTATAAACACAGCACTCTGGAAGGGTGGAGCAGGAAGATTCCAAATTCAAACCCAACCTGGGCAACTGAGTTACTCTGCAAGACCCTGTATCAAAATTTAAAATTTTTAAATGTAAATTTAAGAAAGGCTGGGATGTAGCTCAGTAGAGGGCCCAGTACCACTAGGAGGAAAAAAAAAGTTTCTATGGGAGCCCAGACATCAAAGCAAAGGTAGCAGAAGAAATTTATCCTTTGATACTGTCAGTTACTATGAAAATTAACTCAGCCTTAACCCAGAAGGATTATCCTAAATTCTCAATCAAAAGGTCTAAGAATCTTCACCTCCTTTTTACAACTATATCCTGTCCAATACTCAATGAAAAAGAACTGAGGCTGAATAAAACATTTCTAAAGTTTGAAGAAAAAAAGACAAGCACCAGAACCACACTCAGATGTAGAAAAGATGCTGGAATCTCAGACTGCAGAAATAAACCAAGCTTGAAGAGTTTAATATGCTGAGGGATCTATTAGCAAAAAGTATGTAAGAACAGATAGATAATTTCAAGCAGAGATGTAAAATTTTAAGACTTAAAAGGAAATACATAATCCCAATACCCTAGTGGGCTGAAGCAGGAAGATCACAAGTTCAAAGTGAACTTGAGTAACTTAGTGAGGTCCTATCTCAAAAAAGTATTTTTTAAAGGGTTAGGGCTGTAGCTCAGTGCAAAAACCCTAGGTTCAGCTGGGCATGGTACTACACACCTGTAATTCCAGCACTCTGGAGGCTCAGGCAGGAGGATCGCTGCAAGTTCAAGGCCAGACTGGGCTACATAGTGAGACCTTGTCTCAAAAAATAAAAAAAAAAAAAAAAAAAAAAAGAATTGAACATCCAAGATGTAGAGTAAAATGAAAACAGAACACTATAATTCTTGGAATGTAGCACAAGCAGTGACTGCAGGGAAATTTATGCTATTGAACACATACACTGGCAAAGGACATATTTCTACACCAATAATCACAGTGTCTACCTTAGGAAAAAAAAAAAAAAAAAAAAACAGCCAGGCATGATGATGCACGCCTGTGATCCCAGCAGGCTGGGAGGCTGAGGTAAGAGGGTCATAACCCTAACCCAAACCTGGGCAACTCAGTGAAATCCTATCTCACACTTTAAAACTTTTTAGACTTTAAAACTTTAAAAAGAGCTGGGGCTGGGAGTGGTGGCACACACCTGTAATCCCAGCACTTGGGAGGCTGAGGCAGTAGGATCATTGCAAGTTCCAGACCAGCCTGGGCTACAAAGTGAGCTCAAGGCCAGCCTGAGCTGCATAGTGAAACCATGTGTCAAAAACACTAAAAAATAAAAAAAATAAAAAGAGCTGAAGGGGCTGGGGATTTAGCTCAGCGGCACAGCACCTGCCTGGCAAGCTCAAGGTCATGAAATCGATTCCCAGTACTGGAGAAAAAAAAAAAAAAAAGAGCTGAAGATCTACCTTAGTCCATAGGCCCTGGATTTGATCCCAGGAAGGGAGTGAGGGAAAAGAAAACACCCAGGAATGGTGGTGCATACTTGTAATTCCAGCACTCTGTGAGGCTGAGGCAGAAGGATCAAAAGTTCAAGTCCTACCTGAGTAAATTTGAGAGACCCCATCTCAAAATAAAAAGACACGGGGATATACCTCCAGTGCAAATGCCCTGGGTTAAATGCCAGTCAGGAGGGTGGAGGGGAATAGTAACCAATTAAACCCAGAGTAAAGCACAAGAAAATACACAAAAGAGAAGGAATCAAATTGAGGGAAATAAATTTGGGCAACAAAAATCAAGTGCTAGTCTTTTGAAAAGACAATAAATTGGTCTGATGTGAAACTACCTGAAAGAATAAAAAAATAAGTATAGAGGCAGAGGCGATGGCAGGAGCCTACTTTCCTGACCATTTGGGAGGTTCAGCAGGGAGGATTACTTGATTCCAGGGTTTCAAGGTACAAAACCTGTTTGGGCAATTTAAGGAGAGAAAACCTCAAAGAAAAAGTGACAAGGATACAAATTATGCCAGAAAAGTGGTAGATTCCTTTAATCATAGCACTCTGGAAGCCTGAGGCAAGAGGACTACAAGTTCCAGCAGTCTGGACAACTTAGTGACTTAGGTCCCATCTCAAAATAAAACAAAATGCGCTGGCAATATATGTCAGTGTGAAGGTACTGAGTACAATCCCCAGTAACAATAGATAGACATAAAGATAATAGATACATAGATAGATACATAGATAGATAGACGGATAGATACATAGATGATAGACAGACAGACAGATAAGAGACAAATTACTAGGGGCTGGTTCTGGAGCTCAATGGAGTAGCTAGCATCAGGGAAGCCCTGAGGTCTGTCCTCAGCATCATGGAAAAGAGGTTTTGCAGTTCTGGGTACACCAACATAGGACTTCCTCCTACTAAACAAGCAACATACCAGTAAACTACAATGCTTCTGTGTCTATGTGTGTACCTGTTTGTGTGCAGTACCAGTGACTGATCACACTGCCTTCCCCCTGAGCTACATCCTTGGCCCATTTTTTTTTTTTTACATATTGATGTAGGGTCTCACCTACTCACTAAATTGTACAGGCTAGGCTCAAACTTGAATTCTTCCTGCCTCAGCCCCCCAGCATGCAGGGAATATAGGCATGAGCCACCATGGAAGGATTTTATGGGGTTCATTTTGTGACCTGTTTGTTGTTTTGTTTTGTTTTGTTTTGTTTTGTTTTGTTTTTGAGCCAAGGGCTTGCTACATGTAGTCCAACCTGGCCTCAAACTTGTTCAAGTCCACGTTGGGCTTGAACATCCAATCTTCCTGCCTCAGCCTCCCAGAGTACAGGGAGTATAGATGTGTGCCACCATCTCTAGGTTTTGTGTGGTTTGTTTTGTTTTGTTTTGTTTTGTGGACACAGCCTAGCATCAAACTTGCTCTGAAACCCAAATTGGGCTCAAACATGAGACCTCCTGCCTAAGCCTCCCAAATGCCAAGATTACAGGCATGTCCATCTCCAGGATCCTCATTCTGAGATAATGAAATAACAGGTTACCCAAGAAACTATCTAGCCAAGCATGGTGGCATATGCCCATAATTCGAGCCCTCTGGGAGGCTGAGACAGGAAGATTTCATGTTCAGGCCTAGAATGGGCAACTTAGTGACTTAGTCAGTCTCTGTCTCAAAATAAAAAGAAAATCAGGGGCTGGAGGTGCAACTCAGTGTGAAGGCACTGGGTGAAATAAATCCCTCCTCAAAAAAGGTGAGGGAGGGAAGGAAGAAATTGTCTGAAGTGTATATTTGGGTTTGCTGAAGTCAGACTGTTCTGTTTTGCATATTTTTAAAAGTTTTGCCTGCATTATTTATGTAAAATAGATATTTATTTATGTCATACTCTGCTTTTGATAACATTCCTGGAGTTAGGCATGGTGGTGCATACCTGTAATCTCAACAATGGGGAGGCTGAGGCAGGAGGATCATTGCAAGTTCGAGATCAGCCTGGGCTACAAAGTGAACTCAAGGCCAGCCTGAACTGCATAGGGAGACCCTGTCTCAAAACGACAAAAAAAAAAAGAAATTCTGATTAACTGAACTTTTGTTGTTAGATTCAACTTTTCTGCAGAGAAAACCATTTTAAGATTTTACTCTTTAAAACACTTAAGAGTTATGCACTACAGAAAATAAAATAAGAGCACTATCAAGTATCTTTCTGGCTAAAATAACAAAGATCTTCACGATGAGTATAATCACTATGTATTGCAAACATGTACTAAAATAAATTTTTTAAATAAAATAAGCTTTGCTTAAAAATAAAAAAAAAAATCACAAAGAGCATCATTATTTTCCTTCCTCTATATCTAACACTGGGGGATATTACCATGAATTGGTAGCACACTATATATTAGAGTTGAGGAATCAACTCCCTAAAAATATCATAATCTTCAAAGATGTACACTTAACTTTGGTAACTTTTCATATCTTCTTTTTCGTTTGTTTTTATTGTCTTTTTGTGTTTGTTTATTTGTTTGTTTGAGACAAACTCTCACTATGTAGTTCCGGCTGCTCTTGAGCTCACTGTGTAGACCAAGCTGGTCTCGAAATTCCAGCAATCCTACTGCCTCAGCCTCCCAAGTGGTGAGATTACAGGTTTGCGCCACCACTCCCAGCTCATCATACCATTATTACAAAAATTAGGAGTTCATGCCAGGCATGGTAGCCCACGCAGTAATCCCAGCACTCCGGAAAACTGAGGGGCAAAAGGCTTACAAATTCCAGGCCAGCTGGACAGGTTAGGGGCTTACGGAGGCCCTGTCTCAAAATATAAAATAAAAAGAGAACTGGGGTGAAGCTCAGAGCGAAAGCCCTAGGCTCATACCACTGGGGGCGGGGAGGGGAGTCCACTGGCTGCACAGAGCTTGCCTAGGACGCGGGCGACCCTGGATTCAATCTCTGCCACAAAACAAAAACAAAAACAGAAAAATCATAAAGTGCACGTGACCATGATCTCACATCTTCAGCTTTTACCCTAAAAAAACAAAATTTCTCTTTGTCCCAGAAGTTTCGTGTTTATGGAATCTAATCTTGTAATCGACTCATCTCCCCCCACTCCAAGAAACTGAAAATGGAACGGAATGACCAAGGGGAATAAAAGTGCCGAGTGCTAAGGATAATTATACCAAAGGTTGGGCGTATTTAATAACAAAATCAGAAGAAAACTCCAGACGCCCTCCGAGGTCAGAGCCCCCACACACACTTCCACGCAGAAGCGAAGCCACGCGAGGCCCAGCCCGCTGCAGCGGGGCGGCCCCAGGAGCACAGCGCACAGTGCAGCGCCGGCCCGCCCGCCCGCGCCTCCGCCC